CAGTGACATCCAAAAGAGAGGAGCATGAACTGCCAAGAATCACAAGCAGGGCTGTCCAAAACACGCAAACAACATCAAAAAGGTTCCCCCAGAAACGCTGCTCTGCCAGAGAGTGCGATGCTGCAAATATTTATTACAGCTTAACAAGCAGAGGTGGTGTTTACCTTCAAATACACATTTAGAGGACAAATGGATTTGCATAGTATAGGAGGGGGACAATGTCACAGGAGAGGAAGCTCAGACTTTGGCATTTGTGGGGATTAGGTAGAGTATCCCAAGAAAGGAGAAAGGAAAGGATGGGGAAAGGCAAGGCAAGACAGGCCTGTTCCTTTATATTTGCAATGCTGTCTTTTTATTCCCTTCCTTTCTTTTATTCACACTTTCTTTCCCTTTGCATCCTCCTCCTCCCTTTCACTCCTCCTTTCTCCACCTGCCACATAAGTATCCCTGCCCCATCCCTCCAGCCTCACCAGCAGATGAGCAGGAGCACAGCAGCCTGTCCCCAGCTATATCTCAAGCCCTTCCAGACGTTGGTGGGGAAGGCTGAGCTGCCTCTGGCCCCACCATGTGCAGCAGCTCCCCAAAACCAGCTCCACACACCCCGAAAACAGCCCCACACACTCCAAACGAGCTCCACACCGCCCAAACCACGTGTGCCTTCAGCCTGGCCAGGCTTCACAGAGGGCAGGCTGACATCAGTGTTTCAGGACAGAGCTCCAAGCAGTCCCCGAGGTACAAGAGCACTCATCCAGCTACTATTAATTATTCCTGCTCAGCTGGCCAGGACCAAACATTATTTTCTGTTAAACCAACAGGGACAGGCTGTGAACACAAGGGACCCCCCTGATTTTCAGGAACTCTTGATTGCTCTGTGTAAACGCATGGCCTCAGCCAAGGGCAGGAGCACAGGGCGGGAAAGGCATTTGAAGAGAGCAGTTACATCTATTTTTTCCTTTCTTGGGTTGGATGGCAGGAATTTGCCACTAGAGAAATTAATTCTCGAGCCTCCTGATGCATTCAAAATAAAGAACAATGGACCACATGATAAGCCTTCTGCAGTCTTCACCACAAAAGAGATGCCGGATGTTTTTTCCAGCCCTGACAATAGCTTTCATGCACTTTTGTGTTATGTAAAATTAGGATTTTTCTGCCAGAAGTGAGGCATTTCCTGGTGGATTACACTGAAGTGAGCCCAGAGACCAAGGGGTTCCCAGTTGTTGGTCTCATTTAAACAGAATGGTCCCTGAAAAGCTGCACATCTTTCAGCATTATCATTGCAGAGACACGATTACAGCTGAAGCACTTTGTCAGAAAACAAGGCAACACCTCGTCTTTTCCCCTTTGGTCCTAAAAGATAAAAGGCTTGGTGGTTTTTTTTTGCTTTTTGAATCAGAAGAAATGAGATTCAGATACATAAAAGGCCAGGTCAAGAGCTTGTCACAGGTGTTATACGGATGGATTTCAGCAAAAAGGCCGTGCAAAAATTATTTAGGAGCACCTGTCTCTGCCTTCTGCCCCAGCAAGAAAACAGGGGACAAGGGAAATGATTGAAGATAGTCAATAAATATAAATACACAGCAGGTTTAGCACCCTAGGGGGGAAATTACAATCCTGGGTACATTTCTCCCCTCGCAGCCACACAACTGCTGACAGAAGGACGAGAATGCTGATGCTGCAGGAGGAACAGCACGAGCCTTGGGAGGGAACATCCTCATTTGGTGGAAAAAGAAATAGTCCAGTGGCCCTTAATTTAAAAACAAAAGATTCCCAAATTGAACCCTCATGAATTCCTGCCTGCATTTTTCCAGCAGCATCAAGGTGGAAGTCAGAGGGAGCTGCTAAGCTCACAGTGCTTTGAGAAACAAGCCTGTTAGGAAAGCACCTCCAAAAGGACAGACAGTAAATTTAAGCACACCTTTAAGAAAGTGTTTTGCCCTCCCACCCCCCACTTCTTAGAATCAAGGAACTATCTGAAAACAGATGGGCTTCAGGGATTACATCACATAAGCAAAAGCCTCATTATTTTTGTTCTTTCTCCCTATCCTTTCTCTGAAAGGGGAGCCAGACATAGAAAACTCTTTGAAAGACATCATGGAAGCTGTGGTGAAACACCTACAGAGGTTAATGCTGAGAGTCACTCAAGTTACAGAAATATCCTTAAAGTGAAGGAAAATTAGGTATTTAAAGCCCTTCAACAACAATTTTTAGCCTGTAAATGCCATAGGCTTTGTGGGGTGCTTTAAGGATCTGACAAATAACAGGTTTGATTTTCTTCAGCCTGCATATAGCTGTCTAAAACTCAACTGAAAAAAAAAAGTCTATAAATGAACAGAGCTTGCAAATATACAGCAGGTGAAGGCATTATTGCACACTGGCAGTAACAGCAGATGGGTTGCTCAGCACAGACCTTGTGCACTCTTGGATCACTATCCGAAGCTGTTACTACTCCTCCTTTACGACAGACTGAAGTCAAAGCAAGGACAGAGCCCCAAACCTCCTTGCCCTGGTTTTGATGCACCCTGGACTGCCCTGACCCCAAGGTTAAGATCCAGGTCGAGAGCTCACAGTTTCATAAAAGAAGATCCCTTCTAAGGGCAAAGAGAAGCTCAGAAAGGGGAGTATTTAGCAGGGTTAGGGTCCTTTTTAGGTTTCACTCACAGGAGAATGCCAGGACAATGCTCAGCTCTTTGTTGAGTGCCGAGGCAGGAGCTGGCCGGCAGCATTGCTTCCCTGTGGTTGCTGTCAGCAGGATTGGGTTTGCATTGCAGAAAACCTGTGAGCCTTTAAATCCCTGCTGAGCTGTCACCCACAGACCCCAACACCAGGGCTGGTTTAGCTCTGGTCACTCCTGCAGCATCCTATGCAGGAGGCACAGAAAACACCTTGCCTTATGCTCTCACTCTCCCAGGCTAAAAATCAATTGCTGACAGGTTTCAGGAAAAGACAGAAAAAAAGTCAATTTTAGGTAGTTTTTTTAACCTTGCCTCCTGATTGCCAAGCAAGAATACACCCTGGAATATTTGAAATCCATGTCGACTCCTCCTCAGACTCACAGCCTCACTGAATTCAGCAGCAGCTTTGCTTTCCTAAGTACAAAACTGCAATTTCCCCCTCTCACTTAACCTCTGCCCAAGCTTTTCACCTGAGGCTCAGCTCCTTATTAGCAGGTCTTTAAACAGCCCCTCTGCCCTGGAGTGAACTCACCCCAACAGAACCTGTTCTACAGAGAGCAAAGGAAACAGATTGTGAATTATTTTGCTTTTATCATAAATAACCTCTCTTCCTAGTGAAGGGATCTCCAGCCCGTTAACTCCAGGCCTGCTGCACACAGGAGCTGAACCACAGCCTGCAGAAATCAATACCTCTGACTCTAATGAGTTCTGAATCATGCTCAGCACGCCTGGAGATACATCCCACTCTTCCAGCAAAGAAAAATATGGATGTCAGTAGATGCACTGACAGTAATGTATGCTAATGAAGGTAATGTAACCTAACAACACGTGAATTATTGATGTAGGCATGTTTAAACAGAAAAATCAGCAAGGAATCACAGCAGACCAATACACTCCAGTGTTTGTTCACCAACAGGCAATTGGAACATGGTGGTTGTGAGAACACTCATTACCACTTTATCAGGCTGAAAGAATTCTTGTTGGGTAATCCATGTCTCACCTGATCCACGAGTCATTTAAATTCCACACCGTGTGACACTGGGTGACCTCAGTGCACCATTTGTAGTGGCATGAAAGGAGCTACTTTTACACACCTATAGTTTCCTCTGAGGTTTTCAGACATCTATGACAAATCATACTGCTTTGCCTGAATTATTTTGCTTAATCTTATTTACCAGTCATAGGTAAGGGCTGGTTTAGCCTCTCATTCACAATAGTTTTGGAAATCTAACTCCCTTGAATGCAGCCAAGTTGCACCTGATTGTCATGAGGCACATGGAGAATGAAACCAGCTCCTTTGTCTGGCACAGCCCTGGTTTCCAGGATGTCAAGGCAGTTGGCTCAGCTCTACCATAATATAAACACAGTTTGTCTACCTAGGCAGGTTTATCACATCCATCATCATGTTCTCCTAATGTTATTTAGGGAAAATTCATTTTGTACCACTGTAAAAACAGGATATATGTTCAATAAACATCAGTGTTAATTTTGCTGTTATTCCATTATCCTGTGAGATCTAATCATTCTGTCTGTACTTTGGGGTGAGTTGGCTCCACCTCTGTGGTATCTGGGAACTACATTGCAGACAGGCTTTGTTTTGGTAAGGACTGTTGGGGCATATGGATTTTTACAGTCTCATCATGTCCTCACCAGGTTATATTGATGTGCATCATCCCTGCACCAACAGAGACAAAAGATTTCCTAGTACATGCTGCATCCAAAAAATCCCAACCACAACCCACAGCCAATTGCCAACACACATTCCTGGACATCTTAGTGCTGCATTCAGGTGTGAGAGAGTTGAGAGGGCAGGGGAGAACCGTGTCCTCTGGCCAGGGCCAAACAAACCCCTGGGCTGCTCCCCAGGATCTCAGCCACTCTCCTCAGAGAAATCAGCATCCTCAGTGCCCAAATAAGCTTTGCAAAGCCACGGAGAAGAAAACGGAGCTTAACTGAGATAATTAAAACAGCTGCTCATTTCGGAAGAGTTATCACATTACTCTCAATGCAGGCCATTAATCTTACTGATAATAACACATTTTAAATTGCTCCTCAGTTTCTTCAGCACTTGCAAGAGAAACACGCCAAGCTTTTTCCAGCTGTATTTAAGAATATTTGGGAGGGGAGGGAGGGTTTGAAGAGGGAAGGAGTTGGGGGATAGTTGCGTGCTTATTTGCCATGTAAAAACAGGTAAACACACTATGAAAGATAGCCCCTTTTTATTTATTGAATAAATATGCCACAGTTCCTATCACCAGAGCCCACTGAAAACCACGGGGCACATAGGTGTGCACAACCATGCAGGAGCAGCATCTGATTCTGCTTTACCTTTTCCGGAGCTGGGAACTGCAGGTGATTTACTTCCAAAGGTGTGATCAAAGGAACTGTCTGAAAACCATCTTCGTTGGATGGTTGTTTGTTGTTCTTGTCGTTCAAATTACTCCCCAGCTTCACCATCCTTGGACCTTGCTTTCCAGACCTAAAACCAGGAGGGTGATCAATGTCACGGGGGCAGTGGGAAGGGGAGGATTCCTGCCTTTCCCTGCTCGCTGTGGGGTGATGCATCGGTCCCTGGGTTCCAGGGAACAGGACTTCGCTTCACCGACACACTTGCCTTACACAGACATCCCAAACACACTCCTTGACCCCCCCCGAGCTGTCAGCACAGACACGGCAGACCCCACACCACCGGGAATGCCACCAGCACTGCTGGGAATGCCACCAGCATCAGGGGGAGAGCCACCAGCACCAGCAGGAATGTCACAAGCACTACCGGGAATGTCACCGGCACTGCCAGGAGTGCCACCAAGCACCACCACTGCCACGGACATGCCCGGGGACACGGGGACACGGGAACAGCGGACATGGAAAGACAGGCACACGGGGACGGGGCGCCAATCCCCCACTGACCCTAGGGGTGGTTTTGATCCACCTCCCCCCCAATTTTTGCAGCCCCTTCGAGGGTGCCGAGCCCCTCCCCTGCCACACACCCCGCGGTGCACTCGGTGGGTCCCCCCTCCCGGCGGGCCCCAGGGGCGGCGGGGTGGGGGTCGGGGCGGGGGTTCCGCGGGCGCTACTTACTGCCAAAGCAGGCGAGCGAGAGAGGGTCGAGGCGGGGCCGGTTCCGTGCGGTGATCCGCGGGGGCGGATGCTGAAGGGACAGCGCTGCGCCCTTGCTCGCTACAGTGCGGTCTGGCAGCGAACTGAGGGCGGGCGGGGCGGCGGCTCCCCCTCAGCCCGACACCGGGCCCGCCCGCCCGCCGCGGCATGCGACGCGCCCTGGCGGCCCGCGCGCACCGCCGCCGTGGGGCGCCCCCTGCGCGCGCGAGGGGCCGCGGCATCCGGCGGGAGGGAGGACGTGAGGGACGGGCCGTGTCCCGGTGGCACAAAGGATGGAGAGGGACAAGTGGGAGCTGGGACACTTCCACAGCGCTGCCCGGGCACAGAGACTGGGCACAGAGAGCACTGAGGGTGGAGATGACCCAGGGCGGCTGCACGGAGGCGGGATCCCCATTGCTGCCCTTTGGCCCCCGGTGACATCGACCATTGTGTGCTTGCTTCACTGGGGCATCACTCGATGTCATAGAATTCCAGAATGATTTGGGTTGGAAGCGATCTTAGAGATCATCCAGTCCCACCCACCCTGCCATGGGCAGGGACACCTTCCACTATCCCAGGTTGCTCCAAGCTCTGTCCAACCTGGCCTTGGACACTTCCAGGGATGGGGCAGCCACAGCTTCCTTGGGCAACCTGTGCCAGGGCCTCGCCACCCTCACAGCCAAGCATTTCTTCCCTATAGCTAACCTAAATTTCCCCTCTTTCACTTTGAACCCATTCCTCCTTGTCCTGTCACTCCAGTTCCTGATGCAGAGTCCCTCTCCAGTTTCCTTGTCAGCCCCTTCAGATCCTGGAAGGGGCTGTGAGGTCTCCACACAACCTCCTCTTCTCCGGGCTGAACAGCCCCATGTCCCTGTAGAGAAGGTTCCCCAATCTCCTTAGGAATTTCATGGCCCTCAGTCAGGGCTCCCAAGTGCCCACTCAAAGGTCAGTCTCTCCCTCTGATGCCCATTCAAACACCTGAAAAGATGTTGGAGCCACATGGGGATCAGCCTCTTCTCCCAGGCAACAAGAGACAGGACAAGAGGATACCCTCAAGTTGCACCAGGGGAGCTTCAGATTGGATATTAGGAAGAATTTCTTCACTGAAAGGTCAGTCAAACATTGGAACAGGCTGCCCAGGGAATCACCATCCCTGGAAGTGTTCAAAAAACATGTAGATGTGGCACTTATGGTTTAGCAGTGGAACTGGCAGTGCTGGGTTAATGGTTGGACTCGATGATCTTGACGGTTTTTTCCAGCCTTAATGATTCTATGATTCTCAAATGATGGGATAGCAGGACAGGACCAAGCCCCCAGCCCTGCTCAGCTTTGTACTGGATTCCCCTCCAATTTCCAGCAGCCAGACTGGTGTCACATCACCAGGAGCAGTCACAGTCCCACCACCAGCATCCCCCCAAACACCAGCTCCTGCAGTGTGAGGCTGAACACTTCACTTGGAGACAGAGGATACTTTGGGATGACTTTAGCCTGATTTGTTTATAAATATAGAATTTGCCTCCAGAGCTTGCTACTTGGCATCTTTCACAAGACCTAAATATACTCCTTTAAGGCGTGAACTGTTTCCATAATAAAGCCTTTTAGAACTGACTCGTGAAAACTCATTTAAAGCCATATTTTGGCAGAGCAAAGGGAAGTGCTGAATGCAGTCGTAAAGCTTGCTCACAGTACAGAGGGAAGAGCTGAGAGGCAGCTAAAACTACTTGCTACTAACATCACCTTACATGGTCCATTAAAGGTCCTGATTCCAATAGTTTTGCCAGTTTTTAATGCTTGGAATTTAATGGGTTGGAATTTTCTCCGACACATTTCTGCTTAATACCAAACCTCTACAGTAAATTTCATCCAAGAGAGTTTTTCTGGGATTAAGAATAAAACTCAACTGTGAACAACTTTTTCTTGGAACATTATAAATTTTTGTCAAGTAGCTTTTTGATGTTCTCAGAATCATCTGAAAAAAATCAATCGTGTCATTAGGTTTTGGGAGTTCTCATCCAGGAAAGATTTCTTTAGCTCAGTAGTAGGAACTCCTGCAGATCTAATCCATCAGAGGTGTGTTCACTGAATTTCCACTGAAACTACAATTCCAGGTTGCTGCAGACTAGACCAGGTGTAGAGGCCTACAAAGAAAGGTGGCAGGTTGCATCCCACAGATATGGGAAAGTGTAGGACTTGTGCTCTGTAGGTCTGAGGAATCACATAAAAAACCCACTCACTAAAAATTACTGATTAAGTTACTACAATATAATGTTTTAATATTGTAGTAATACCAGAAATCATCCATCCATGCCCACCTGGGCCAGGATCTGTGCAAATGCACAGCAAGTTACACACCCTGCAAAGTCCTTGTCTCGTGCTCTGCACAGAGATGATGGTTTGGTTCAGAGTCATCATTAGGACCTTCAAAATGAGGCTGTAAGAAAATCCAAAAGCACAGACTTTGCAAATGATGACAGAAGCCCAGTCTCGTCCCAGGCATTGTCAACTTTCCAGATCCAAGCTAGACAGCACAATTGCAGCAACTCTTTCCCAAAGTTCCAACATATTACAGATTATGTCATCTGAAGTGATTTGACCATCCAAAGAGATTCACAAATCTATCGCTATCCGTGCATTGCAACTCCATAACAATTGCATTGTGGTTTTCCACCTTTATCTGGTAATTACCAAATGAGTGCTTTGTTGAAAAACAAAATTATGTCCTTCATAGCTTGCAGATGCATCTGTGATCTGAAAACCAAATCATTTTCATCCACATCAACACTGGCAATGAATATCCTGCTTAGCCAAAATATTACATTAGTGACACCTAAGCAGATCCTCTGACATGAGATCTTGAGCAACAATTCACAAACACACTGATGTGAAATTTCCAGAATCACCTGTGCAAACCTATGGAAACTGTGGTTACACAATGAAAAATAAGGCTGTAAATAAAGTTACCTGCTTGTTCCACATCCCTACTCCGTTGAACACACTGATATGCTCATAGAGTTAATATGTTAATTTTTGTTGGTTATACTTGAATACTCTTCAGAGTAACAAAGCTAAGGGGCAATGAGGTGAATCCCCTTCCCTCTTGTGCATTGCTACCACTGTAAAATACCTTTCATGTAGCTGCAAATCTACTGATAACTAAACAGAGCTTAACTCTGCTGGAGATACTCCACAAAACCCAGAGAAAGCAGCTCAACAGGGCCAGCACTCGAGCACTGGCACTTGGAGCCACTTTCCTGCTAAAAGGCTTTTAGTTCTGAGTACCAGCAGCAAGAACCTGCAAGAGATGAGCAGGGACTGCTTTTACCTTATGACTTTTTACAGTAGAAGCACATTTTAAGCAACATGTGTCAGTGGCACCATCTGAGAATTCTGGCAGTGTGGTGGAGGAAGGTGTGCAGGGAGATACTGAAACTCTCAGAGCCTCTTACATCCAGAAACCTCCATTTCCTCCATGAAACTGAACCAGCCCTGTGACTACTTAGGGTCAGTGTGGCCCATTTCAGTTTGAAAATACCTCTTTGCAAAATCCCTCTTTCAAAAGCAAACAAACAAACTACCAGGAGTAAATTTATATAGGAGGATGCTTCATGGAAAAAAGAGATGCCTAAAGTTGCCAGCAAAAGTGAACATTCTGTAGGGACAACATTAAAGCAAACCCAACTGAGTATGAGAAATCAGAGTAACACACAGATTTTCTTGCAGAGCCAATACAGAGTCTGACATTTCCGCCCACACAGCACAGCTCGGTGACAGGCAATAAGACACAGCAGCAATATGAGCAACATGAGACTCCAGAGGAATAAACAATATATTTCTTCTGTCAACAAAAATATATGCCTCTCTTTATTCCTCTAATAAGTCTCCCACAATATATTAATGCATTGGGTTTGTGTGGCGGGGGGGAGGGGGCTACAGGGGTGGTTTCTGTGAGAAGCTGCTGGAAGCTTCCCCCATGTCCGACAGACCAGTTCCGAGGGGTGGCACCTCTGGGATAACAGATTTAAGAAGAGGGGTGAGGAGGAAACTGCACAACTGCAGCCAGGAGAAAGGAGTGAGAATACATGTGAGGAACAACCCTGCAGACACCCAGGGAAGTGGAGAGGGAGGGGCAGGAGGTGCTCCAGGAGCCAGAGCAGAGATTCCCCTGCAGCCCATGGTGCAGACCCTGGTGAGGCAGCTGTGCCCCTGCAGCCCATGAAGGTCCATGGGGGTACAGAGATCCACCTGCAGCCCCTGGAGGACCCCACACTGGAGCAGGGGGATGCCCAAGGGAAGCTGTGACCCCATGGGAAGTGCATGCTGGAGCAGGGTCCTGGCAGGACCTGTGGCCCCATGGAGAGAGGAGCCCACACTGGAGCAGGTTTGCTGGCAAAGAGTTGTGACC